GTTGATTCATTGTAATCAGCGTTATAAAATAAACTGCACCGAACACAATAATATCACATTCAATAATTGATAAATCAAAATCACTGTCAGTTTAATAACGCAATGTGTGTTTGAAAAGTTTATCAGATCTACAGATGCACCCGTACTAAGAGAAAAATGTCGAATTCAAAGTGCATTTGTGCATCCCAAGTGGCTCGCTGTGACCGAGAAAAATCGGTTCACCCTCCCATAAAAAGTTATCACTTCAAAAAACCCCAACACAATATTTTTTAATAATTTTAGATACCTTTTGACACCTTGAAAGCCAATATTTCACATTAGTCGAGGACCACAATGGCCTATACGAAGTTCTTTAAAACCGTCTTGTTTTTGGGCTGATGAGATTTCCAAGTTCATTGAAACGTGCGCTAAACCTCGCCTTCCAGTTCTGCTGTTGAACATCAGAAAACGTGATCAAATTACGTGAGAACCCCGATATACGATTACCAACCCGCATGTAAAACCGCTTCACGTCAGCATTCGGCTTTCAGCTCACAGACGCAAAACTTCCCAGAGACAAACCCTTTTAAAGAGATATCGGATATTTTCGGAAAAAGCCTTCTGGGATCGGCCCAATACCCGAATATCCCTTTCGCTGATGATCGATGGCCAACACCCGAGACCCTGTTTTTACTCGTTTTACTGCGAGTCATACATCATTTTCGCAACGGCTCGCAAATGCGATTTTTATGTCTTTCAAGCCCGGAATCTGCAGCCATTCGATAACTTTTTTCCACTAGGGTCGTAAAACGGACGGCCTTATGGCTTGGCGAGATTAAAGGTAAAGTTGATCCAGACGATGTGTTTCTCATCCTTTTGGAAGGAATTTTAATTGAATGCACATGTAATTCGGATCGATAGTCTTCGGTCGAGGACCTCCATCAACCTCATTTTTCATGAATAATTTTTCGTTTAGAGTTTGCTCAGCGTAAATTGGCACCATGGCGCTAATGACACCAAATTTTTTAAACCAATTTGTCTTTTTCGCCTTGTATAAGTCATTCTTTTGTTGGCGATATTTATATACGTACAAAGTCTACTTTCAGTGGCACACATGAAATTGATGATCCTGGTGTGATCGTTTATGATACGTAATGGACAAGGTTTTTTTTGTTTAAAGAACCACACAAATTTCATGCAAAATGCCGCAATCATTCCAATTTAAATCCAATTTTCGTTTATCCACGTCGTTTAAATCATTCTCAGCCCTGAGGATGACTTAAATAAAGTCGAAACGTCGGCCCATGAAAGAGTAGTGTTTTATTTTTGCCAAGATCTAATGACCGAAAAAACCCACAAACCTAAACAATTACTGATTGTTTTAAACCCATTTTGCTCTTTGAGTTAGCCAGGTACCGACCAGCTTGTACACATTATATTTTCATATTTTTAACACTCTGTATCATAACAGCGCAAGAAAATAATTTTTGGATTCCTTGAAGCTTAAACTAAAAAAAAGTACTCTTGTTTGACACTGATTAAATGAGCGTTTTCTTGAAAAAGCCTATTTTAGTACATTTTCAGTTAAACCAAATCTGTTTTCCAAAGCTAAATAATCAATTGCTGATCTAATTGTTTAAAAAAAATATAAGCCAGTTCCACATGGGCTCCTTGAAGTCCTCCTGAACCGCCGGAAAATCCCCCTATTGTTTGTTATTGAATCGGAATGAAACATCATTTCTTGCAACGGATGCTTCCTCGTTTCAGCAGGAGTGGAATAAACCAAGTGTTTCAGGTGGCTCCAGAGGTAAAAATCTAATGGGTTTAAGTCGGGAGAACGGCGAGGCCAAACCACATTTGCTCCTGCAATTCACTGCATCGCCTAATTGGAAAAACGTTGTTTCGATGATCTCGTGCTACAATAAAATGAGGAGGTGCATGTTGTGCATGTTTCTTCTTGTCTCTAGTGGTAGATCTTCCAAATAATTTTGAAGGTACTCCAAATGAAGTTGTCGAAAAGGCAGAAATGTTCAAAATGTACACAAATTAATATTTTATGGGTTAAAACAAGACTGTGATTTTTTTGCCAAACGGCCTCAGAAATGCTATTTTGCAAAAATTTTGGATTGGATTTTGGTAAAATGAACCGTTGGAAAACGGTTCATTTTACCGATGTCACTCAAGAGCAGCTTTTTTCAGTTTAGGCTTGAAGCTATCAAAAAATATTCCTCTTGTGCTCTTATGATACAGGGTGTTAAAAATATGAGCATTAATGTGTACTTGGACGATAAAGACATTTGCCGCGGCTCAGGCTCGGCTAGTCAGGTCTGGTATATGTGTTGAACAGTGAACACAAAAATGAAATTCTGCTGATTTTCATCGGAAACGAGTGACACTGCAGCACATTAACATTTTCCATTTCGCTTGCCTTGTGCATTATTCAAATGATAGGCCATTGAAAACAAAACACAATAGCAACATCCTGCGTGGTTATTCCTGGCTGGCGTCACAAATCACCCTGGGCTGCTTTCTCTCTCTCCTCTCTGCTCTAGTTGC